TCAAGACTTTGATTCCGGGGGGGAGTCCAAGAAGGCTTTTACATTTACTTTAGTCAAACCCAAACAGTCAGAGGTGGGTCCACTCCCCCCTGGAGACGAAAGCTTATCCAAGCATATACGGTTATCAGTGCACATGGCTTCAGCGCATTATATTCATACACACAGATTTCTATCAGAACTAAGTCAATGTTTCGATGACTTCAGCAGCCATGCAAATGCGATGGCGCAATCTTTACGGTCAGTGGCAACCTCCATGGCTATTGGCTTGGTAACCAAGCAAAAATCGTTGGCTGATGGAATCGATTATTTTTCATCCTCGTTTTCTCATGGTGCATCGGGAGCTGCACTCGAACCCAGGTCGTCAAGTCGACGGCCGAGCGTGGACTCGTGGGACGGCGCGGCCGAAAGAAACCTGGGACATATTACATCCGGGACTGAGAATAAACGCAGAGTGTATCTACACGTTACCATTGAAACACCGGTTATCATATTACCGCGTACATCAAGTAGCCAGGAACGTCTGGTGGCCAATCTTGGAAGAATTGTTATATATAACAGGCATTTGACATCCTACGATCAAAATTTTGACGAAAAGTGCAGGAAAACGAGCTCTGATAGCAATATTAGTGTGAGTTTTCACGAAAACACTGCGGAAAACAACTTAGAACAAACTTTTCGAGACAATTCTGCCGATTTTAACGACATTGATAGAGTTTATATAGATATTACGGATATGAGCTTGTATTCTTTGGGGTTGACAAAAAATGGCGCGCAAGGTTTGGAGACTGGTACAAGTGCTGACGTCAGCGAACATATTTTACACGATACCGCATTACGGCTCGTGGTCGACCGATGTTGTCGGACCGGGCCTGGGGATGAGGCCGAGGGTGAAAGTTCGGGGACTAGAAACGAGAGTTCAAAGCCCGTCATTCATGTATCAGGCCGGGTTACGAAGCCACTACAGTTGGTTTTATCAAACAGAGCGTATCAACAGTTGTTGTCAACCAATGACACGTTGTCAGGGAAGACTGAGAGGGAGCTTAATGGATCAAGGGGGACTTCAACAACTTCTAGTGCTGTGACGTCACCTGTCATCTCTCCAGTGTAAGTGTGTACATCAAAATTATTTTTTTACCCAACCTCAAATATCAATTAAAAAATAAATACCTTCCCCTGACCAAAATCATTACAAACGGATACCATTCAGTTGTCACACATGTCCTTTTACCACTTCTGTGACATGAGTTTGATTGTGCAATCTAAAGTTTTATGTTGTCTGCACAGGTGCTTTCTTTGGAGACACCATTTGCCTCCTGACAAATCGGAAAATGATCAAGATAATCACTCTGACTGATTTACATATCGTACTAGACTTTCCAAAGTCCGCGGTTCGTGATTCCTGGAAGCGACGGACTTTTGTCACCCGCAAGCGCGCCAAATTCACCGGTGCATTTTTGCTCCGGTGACGTCAGTGAATGCTCATTGTTATCACAGAGTAGAGACATACAGAGACGTAACTAGTGTACCCACTTTTTTTGTGCGCATGCTCGGCAAGTTACTAGATGCATGCATCTGATTGGATGACGACCTGATGACGACTCACTTTAAACTTGCTGAGCACGCGCAGTTGATCATTTTTCGCCCGGTCGCCTGAAAAAAAGTGGGTACATGAAAACGTAATCTTCCGCAGTGTTTACAACGGTCAGTTACGTCTCTGTATGTCTTATCTACTCTGTGTTGTTATTCTGTACTGACGACGCCAAAACAATAATGAACTAGTGAAATCGGCATGGTGAACGCCCACTATGTCATAATTGTTTTCGCGCCAAATTTTTCAGTAAGATTCAAAATCAGGCAAGTGACACAAGTCGCTCGCTTCCGTCTTTCTCAAGCGCTCCCTTCTTGCTACGCGCGGTCCCCAGCGAGCGACTTAGGCAAGTCTAATATCGTACTGACATATGGCTGTTGACATTGCTTTTTAGTCTTCATTCAATATTCGAGTGAGTCATGCTTTGGAAATGACAATAAATTTTTATTATGCGAGCCTTGAATTGTTTTGTTTTTCATTTACCCAACCTTTTACTCACTAAAATTTTTGTTCACCCAACCCTTTTCTCTTCGGTGCTATCCCTCGCCATAAATAATTACCGGTCCCTAAAGTGGCATCCAGAGGCACCATTAGAAAGCTTTTGACTCAAGAAATTACAGAGCACTCGACTCAACCTTCTGTGCAAAACTGGACTGAGTAATCACTGACAAACTAACAGATTTTTTCTCTATTTTCTTCAGATCGTCAGCCTTTGAATTAAAAAACCCAAACCAAGACGATCCCGTACCGATGAACGTCGAGCAATCAAATGTCGACGAATCTCCCGAAGATCTTGCGATATCCTCCGAAGAAGACCGAACGCCCGTTCGGGCAAGCTTCGACGTGCCTCAACTGAACATCGAGTTACGTGGTGTTTTGAAAGACGGCGAACAGGGAATTGTGAATGTATTTTTTCAAGATTTTGGACTACTTTATAAAAACACTGTTACATCTACGACCTGTTTTGATGTTTCCTTGGGCGGTTTAATTGTGGAGGACTTATTACAGAATCCGGACTCTTTATATCGTCATATGATGGTGTCTTCTAACACTATGTCAAAAGCAACTAGATTTAATCTTAAAAGGAACGACCCTATTTCAAAATCATGTCCAGATATTTCAGGATTTTCCACCAAAGATGCTCATTCGACCTCCCTACCAATGGAATTGGTCAGCACCCCCCGGGGTAAGGTTATGCGGGCGTCCTCCCCCCTGCGACCGATGTTTCAACATCGACGCATGTTTGCGAGGGAAACCGAGGAGTTTTGTGATGCAACCGAGGACGAGGTCGAGGGCATCAATGATTCTGTGGAAGAGTTTCTTGGCAAGAGAGGCGCGTATAAAGAGACTGCGAATGATACTCTGGTGAAAATTAAAGCTGTAATGGTTGATAGGAACTCGCTGGAATATATCACTAAATATGATAAGGTGGGTTCTTTATAATATAAACTGCAATGTTAATGATATAGTAAAAATTTTACGTGTAACAAACCGCCATGGACAGATACGTGAGAGTATAAATACACGGGAATTAAAATTCACTTGCGCTACGTTACATCACTGAGTACTTAGCCTTGGCTGTAGAGCGTCGTTATCGGGATTGAAATATCGGCTTTAGAGCCCCTTGTCTTGTTACTGATTTACTGATAACTCTACTGATGAGCTAGTTTTATTTAGGTCTGTTATATTATCTGATTTGTCACTTTATGGCAAGACAAAGGGTTCTAACCCAATATCTTGAGGCTTTATAACCAATATAGTACATATGTATTGATTGATTATACTGACTACGATTTTGAACTAAACTAAACTATAAACTAAAGTAAACTTTTTAAATTTTTTGCTTTAAATTTCATGATCATGCAATATCTAGCTGAATTTATAGCTCATCAAGCCTTTCATGGTTGAAAATGTTTTGTTACATCTTTGTTACACAGTTATTCAAAATTATTGGCGCGCTGGGGTGGGGGGTGGGGGTATCCGCCACTGGTTGCTCTCTGAGAATTAGACTGGGCGAAATTGCATGTTGCAGAAATCAAACCACAGTCACAGAGGTGACTCGTGGCTGCGCTAACCACTGTGATATTTCTTCGCAGACGGACAGAGTGATAGAGGTGGATTTCAATTCTCTGGACACAATCGTGAACCTGCAGACTTGGGTGGTTTTCTTGGAGTTTTTTGGCATTGGTCGAGCTCCCGAGGATGTGAACATGACACAAGAAGCGATGAATACTGAAGGACAAATAAAAGGTACAATTGTGTCAGAGCTACATAACGACAGCAAACGACGGCTCTTTCTGGAATGAAATTTGGGAGTCGTCTTTGTCTAGTCCAAAACATTGCAAATCCTTAGCGGGGATAATATACGTTTTCTTTGTGATTCTGATTAGTAATTTATCAGAAAAGCAAAAGAAATCAAGACCGTGAAGGAATTATATATATAATTTTCTTTATAGATAGATAGATAGAGACTTTATTTCAAGAAGGTGACACTTAATAGTACGAAGTACTAATGAACTTGTGGCCCTCCTTGACAAGTTTTATTGCTTGTGTGCGCTTTTTTTTTTTTTTTTCCTTTAAACATATTTAACGTTTACCCAGGACGTAACGCTCACGTACATTTACAATTATTACATTAAAAAAAAGAAGACGACGATACAATAAACACTAGATGATGATAGCTGGATCAGTGAAAGAAGATGTATTTAAGAAAAACGTTTTGCCTAATATATTTTTGAACATACATAAATATATTGTTGTTTTCATCAATGCTCAAATATTGTGAGCCAAATAAAAATGATTTCACTTTTTGTGAATCGGACAGATGATGCCAGAAGGTCAATCTATAAGAGCAGCATATCGGGGACAGTAAAGCAAGTAGTGAATTACTGATTCACAACTAGCACCACAAATACAAGTATAGGAGTTATATACAATTAATTTTAAACAAATAACTATTTAAATCATTACAATTCAAACGTAAACGACTATGTAAAACTGAAGAATACCTGTCAGTATTTGTCAAAATCATAGAAGTATTTTTTCCTTTTCCTTGATGGCCGTACTTTTATATCCTCCGTTATTCAACTTTTATAACATATATTTACTCTGCTATATTATACATGTATACTTGCTCTCTGGCTTAGCGTCTCCTAATCTAATGTCTCGTGACCTAATCTTATATGTCAATCACTTCAGCTGTCCAATCAGCATTTGGATACAACATCCCTTCCTTAATTATAGTTATGAAAATATCAACCTTTAAAGTTTCTAAAGTCTCTAATTCTATGTAGTTCTTTACTTTGTAGTTCCGTTCTAAGACTTAGTGTCTTGGAATTACTATTACGGGTTTCATTACCGTGTTCTTTAAACTAAATAAATGTCAACAGTCTGCATTTTAAACTTGACTAACTTAACCTACTTTTAGATAGTCTGGTTGTTTTCTATTTCTCGTTGATCTACGTAGAACAATTTCCGTTTCTGTAGTATTCTGGTTGGTTTCTGTTTGAGTTGCTTCGGTGTTTTCTTCGCGACTTTCCGTTTGTCTGTCATGCTTGCGATCACTCTGGATTTCTTCTTCAGGATCAGGAATTTCCTGGTATAACTTGACATGCGATGAGTTTCTGCGATGTTGTGTGCCATTCTTGTCTTTTAACACTATCTGCGTGCCGTTTATTTTGGTGATTACCATTGGATCAGGATGAAACTTTGTCGTAAATTTGTTTCGATGTTTTTGAGTAACTAGTACTTTATTTCCGACTTCAAGATTTCTTGGACTTGCTTTTCGCTTCTTGTCGGTATATTTCTTCGCTTTCTCTTTCTCCTCTTCATCTTTCTTGCGAGTTTCAGTTTCATCGTTTGTCTGTTGTTCAAAACTAGGAAGTTTCGTCTTGACTTCTCGGTTCATTAGCAATGACGAAGGTGTTCTTCCGGTCATTCTATGAGGAGTATTGCGGTAGTGGAGTAGCATGATTGGAATGGTGGGTTTCCACGCTTTTCCTTCCGCCTGTGCGGTTAGGATGTGTTTCTCGAGAACTTGATTAAATCTCTCAACTTGCCCATTTGCTTGCGGCCAATATTCCGTCACCGTCTTATGTTCTATTCCCCAAGAGGTTAATGTATCCTTGAACTCGGTAGAAACAAAGTAGGATGCGTTGTCGGACTTTATTTCATCTGGAAATCCGTGAGTTGCAAATACCGATAATAACCAGTCGAGAATGTTTTTGGACGTGACTGATTTTAAGATTTTGACTTCTGGCCAGCGCGAATAATAGTCAGTAAGGACAACTACTTGTTCTCCAGTGGGAAATGGTCCACATACGTCTATGGCTAGCTTCGACCATGGTTTCTTAGGAAGCTTAGTTGGTTCCATTGGCTCTGGTCGCGGGCTCTTACTGACAAGTTGACATGGATGACAGCATCGAATTCGTTCTTCAACCTGCTTGTCCATCTCTGGCCACCAAAGCTTGGAGCGCAGGCGTTGTTTGCAGCGGACCATACCTGTATGATCCTCGTGTGCAAGGCTAATTGTTTGTTGTCTCAGCTTGTTAGGAAGAACAATGCGATCACCCCGAAGTAAGATATCTTGATCTGTGATGCAGAGCTCATGAGCGATGAGCTTATATGCTTTCGGAAGTTTGTATACTTGATTATTTTGCAAGTTCTGTTTAATCTGCTGGAGTTCCGGATCTGCTAATGTTTCTCTTTGTATGTCTTCTAATTTCATGGCATTCGGTGTCTGTGCTTGTGTCATGTAATGAACATATCGGTCAGCGCAAGCCTCCATGTTGCTCCTCTTGCTTCCCTCTTTTCCATCTTTCGGGAGTCGAGACAAAGGATCGGCCAGATTGGATGGGCCAGGTCGGTAGATAACGTGGAAGTCGTACTCTTGGAGTCGAAGTCTCCATCTTTCGAGTCTGGCTGATGTTGGTTTGCTTTGAAGCTTTGCCTTGTAGATATGCTCTAAAGGTCGGTGGTCTGTCTCCAATTCAAAACTACGTCCATATAGGTACATGTGAAAGTGTTCACATCCGAATACGATTGCTAATCCTTCTTTCTCTATGTGACCATACTTCTGTTCGACATCTGTTAGCGATCTGCTACCGTACGCGATTGGTCGATAATTGTCGTCGGCTTGTTTCTGGAGAAGTACGGAACCCAGTGCCCATGGCGATGCATCTACTACGACTTTAGTTTCCGCAGTAAGATTGTAATGAGCTAATACTGGTGAAGTGGTGATGGCATTCTTCAGTGACTGGAGTGCTTTCTCGTGACTGTGATCCCAGTGAAACGTGACATTCTTCTTTGTGAGCTGTCGAAGTGGGAAGGTTAGGCTGCTGTAGTCGGGTATATATCTCGAACAATAATTGGTGAGGCCAAGGAAGGATCTGACTTCCGATGCTGTGGTAGGATGTGGAGCATTTGTTATGGCTTCGACTTTGGTGCTATCTGGTCTGATTCCTTTCTCGGACACGATATGACCAAACACGTTTATCTGCGGTACTGCGAACGAACACTTTGGTAGTTTCAGTGTGATGCCATTGGTTCTCAGGATTGTGAGGAGCTGGTCTAGCCGCTTGAGGTGTGTTTCTCTGTCTTTGGACCATAGCCAAATGTTATCAGAGATGTTGGCACAATCTGGTACCTCTTTGATGAGCTCGTGGATAATCTCATGAAAGTGTTCTCCAGATGGTGATGCTCCCATTATCAGCCTGGTGAATCTATGCGGACCATCTTCAGGAGTTGAAAATGCTGTAATATGACGGGATTCCTCTGCCAAGGGCAGTTGAAGATAACCTTGCGACAGGTCAACCTCTGTAAAGACTTTTGCTCCCTCCATCTTTTGAAGTATCTCGTTGACTGTAGGAATTTGTACGCGCCGTCTTGCAAGTGCTGTGTTAGGTATACGCATGTCTAACACTAGTCGGAGGTCCCCACTCTTCTTTGGGATGGCTATCAACGGTGATAACCAAGGCGTTGCTCCCTCAACTTTCTCGATTATCCCTTCTTCTCTCATCTCCTGCAGCTTTTTGTTTACTTTGGTTTTCATGCTGTGTGGAATTTTCCGATTTGTTTGTGCGACCGGGGTTACTGTTGGGTCAATTTCGAGCTTCACTTCACGTCCCTTGAGATTTCCCGTTCCTTCAAATAGCTTTGGATGTTTGTTGATAATGCGACGTACATCATGATCTTGTTGAACCGGGTTGAGGGTGTTGATGTTGAGGATGATAAGTCCCAATGAGGAAGATGATTCATATCCAAGAATACACTTAGATTTCTTTTGTGCTACATAAAACTTAGCAGTTTTGAATGTACCTGATGCTGAGGTGACGGTAGCTTGAAATTCTCCGGCTAACTCGAGTGGTGTTGGTGTTCCATATGCAAAGATTCTGGCATTGGTCTTTTGTAACTGGATACGGTTGTCGTCTTTCTGAATTTGTTGAAAAATTGGGTAGTTCAGAAGGTTAACAGAGGCTCCGGAATCAATCAGAATGTTTACTTTAGTGTGTCCAATCTGTACTTGCGTTTCTGGATGTTTACCCGAGCTTGTGTTGACAGTAAAAAGAAATTTATCGTCCGAGTCTTGAAGATAATCACGACTTTTCTCTTGGTTGACATGTCTGACATTTCCACTGTCCTTAGATTGAGATCTGCAATATTTTGCAAAATGACCGATTTTCTTGCAGTTGTAGCAAGGTTTACCTCTAGCTGGGCA